TCTGTATGCACACCAGGGCAGTCAGAAGGAGCCACCTGCCCCAGTCCTTGTAGTAATCATTGTTCCCAGCAGCCACTTGGTCCCCCAGGGCACCTACTTAAGGAGGCTCTTCATCGCAGTAATTAATCAATGCCACTGGATACCACATTTCATTTCCATGACAAGGAGCTCAACATTGCATTCAAGTCTAAAGACAAACCCCTACACCTGAGAGAATGTCATCTTTGAGGATCTGTTTCCTGAGGCTCCTGGTACAAATTTCTGATCAGTCAAGGTTCAGTCAGGAGACACAAACTTCTCCAGTCACAACAGCTAAAGATAAAAAACTTCTTTCTAGCCGCTAGCTAAATTTCATTTATTCCGTTTAATCATGCCTCATTTTCTCAGTCTGGGATTTCTGCTTTTCTTCCAAGCCAAAAGGCAGGGTTAGACCCTTTATTTCTAATATTTCCTCCCAAAATGATGCTGGGAAAGCCCTAGTTTCTCTACTCATCCATAGGCTGCTTTTTCAAAGCTTGATTCTATAAAGCAGGAGCCTCGAGCCCTTCTTCGTGGGACTTTTCCTCAAATCAAACGTCTGTTCATTTCGGATCCTCACACTGAGTTGTGAAACCTCATCAAGAACTTATTGCATCAGATTCCAAAACGAGGTCTCCCCAACTGAGGCCCTTCGAGTTACATCTGGAAATGAGCTGGATCTTTTCTGGGTCATTTCCCGTTGAATGTGAATCATGTCTATTTTGGTCTGACTTCGTTTGTACTGGGGCTCTAGCTGCCTCAGGGCTTTAACTCTCATGAAACCTTAGGCCAGAAAAGCCTCTCAGAACTCCCTGGTTCTTCTTTTTCTTCCCAGGAAAACTGCTCTGCGCAGCTAAATATGGTCCTGTGGAAGGAACCTATGCCTGGGCCAGATCTGCACTCACAGCCCAACTCTGCCCCCCACTCCCTGTGTAACCCTGGGAAGATGGCCCGCTTCTGTGCCTTGGTTCCTTCAACTGTGCAATGGGAGAAATATTTGTCCCAACCTTGGAAGATTGGAACAGCCTGCTCTTTGAAACGTGTGTTTTTTAAATACAAGTATATAATAGTTGAGGGTTTATGATTATTAACTCTCTAAACTCTCTGCCATGTCCCCAGGTCCAGCTTATCCATAGCAGCAAAGGAAGAATTTCCAAGAAATGGAACACACCATGTACTTTGTTTTATTTTTTTAAAATATATTTTATTGATTTTTTTACAGAGAGGAAGGGAGAGGGATAGAGAGTTAGAAACATCGATGAGAGAGAAACATCAATCAGCTATCTCCTGCACACCCCCTACTGGGGATGTGCCCACAACCAAGATACATGCCCTTGACCAGAATCGAAACTGGGACCCTTCAGTCCGCAGGCTGACACTGTATCCACTGAGCCAAATCGGTTAGGGCTACTTTGTTTTAATCCTCACCTGAGGATATTGGGTGTGTTTTTTTTAAATTGATTTTTAGAAAAAGAGAGAAAGAGAAACACTTTTTTAAATGTTTATTGAGGAAAGGGGTGTCCATAATTAATAGACTTTCATGGTTTTAAAAAATAAACTGTTCCAAAAGTCATACAGTGAAAAATGTCTCCCTCTTGACACTGTTTTCCAGTTCCCCAGTCCAGAGACAACATCTTGTATCACAGTTTTTTGTACATCCTTCTGGAGTTCGATTATACTCCTACACCCATGTGTTTGTGTGTTTTCCTCACTTCTTTTCTTTTTATATATATATATTTTTATTGATTTTTTTACAGAGAGGAAGGGAGAGGGATAGAGAGTTAGAAACATCTATGAGAGAGAAACATTGATCAGCTGCCTCCTGCACGCCCCCTACTGGGGATGTGCCCACAGCCAAGGTACATGCCCTTGACTGGAATTGAACCTGGGACCCTTGAGTCCGCAGGCCAACGCTCTATCCACTGAGCCAAACCGGTTAGGGCTCCTCACCTCTTCTTTATGGAACCTGCATGGTAGAAAACGAAACACACTGTTTTCTCACTGTCTCAGAGATAATTCCATAATAGTACACAGAGGTCTGCCTCTATTACTTAGTTAGTCCCCTATTGCTAGGCATTTTGATTGTTTACAGTCTTTTATCAGTTCAAACAAGGTTGCCAAGAACATCCTCATACTCCCAGGATAAGTTACAGGAAAGAAAACAGCTATGTCAAAAAATAAATCGTGTTATGTTTTCATTTTTATAAAACTGCAAAGCTTTCCTCGCAGTTTAGCTGTCATCTTGCTGCATTCTAAGTGACAACATTCACTCCACCATCGGCCTTCCTGTGGAATGGCAGCGAGTCCTCTCCATCTACAGCTGTCCCCAGTACTGTGACATTAGCGAGATTGCGCTTGGGAAAATCTCATACTGGAGAGCCTCGCAGCCCAAAGCCCCTTGCTGCAAGTAAATATTGACAGCTTGGATCGTGGCCATTAGCTGTTTGGAATGATTCAACAGCCATTTTAAACACGCTTTTGTACCAAAATCAGAGTAAAGAAAGGGTTGAAAAAAGGCAAACAGGAAGGTCTACATTTATTGTAAAAAGCATTACATAGGTCCTTTTTCCTCCATTAACTTCTTCCAGCCCGCTCCCATCCACCCCCTAACCCCACTCCCACCCCCAGGCCCCCACCACCCCATTGTCTGTGTCCACGTGTTATGCTTCCCATCCACTCTCCCCTGCCTTCCCTCTGAGGATCAACAGTCGGAAAGTCTACATTTTAATAATGGGTGCAAGACAAAATGATCTTGGGCTTTATCTTGACTCACAACTGTCAAGTCACTGAAGGTCTCTGGACCTCTTTGTCCTTGTGTGTGAAATGAAGACTACAGACCAAATTATCTCCCAGGACCCTTCCTGCTTTGAGATTCTGAAGATTCAAATGGAGTGAAGGTCAGGGGCACTTGTCCTCCCAACCTCACTGTATTCAAAAAGCAAGAGATGTTGCAAATCAGTACGTTATTAATATCTAAGTCGGTGGTACAGTTGGGCAGGGATTTAGACAGTGATGAGTTGGTAAACAGGCTGGGGACTGAGTTGGGGGGAAGACAGTCTGGATTTGTAGCATTTGCTGATTTGTAACAAGACTGGAAAACCATCCACCCCCCATTCTTCCATTTATTCGGCCAGGAAACGTTCATTAAACACTTGCTGGGTGCCAAGTGTGGCACCGCTGCCTTTTCCTATACTTTTAATTAACCATTTATTTTCTTACCAGCAAGAGCAGGCCAGGGATCTGAACAGTTACAGTGGAGCCCTCAGGGTAGCACATGGAGATTCCTACTCTACCCTAGGAGAGGAGCTATCCTGAGCCCTTTAGATTCTGAATGGGCTCTGGGCATCCTAAGCAGGGTTTCCTCATCTTTTCCATTCCTGACACATCTGGGAACAGACCAACTTTCTGAGATGGGGTGGTGGGTGGAGGTCCCCTTTCTAGCCATCCTCGAATCAACACCCTACACTATTTCACACGTCATCTTTCATGCATGTGCAGAACGCTCACATCCCCTACACCCTGACAGGTCTCAGTCACCCCTCAGGGCTCAACGGGAACCTCACTTCCCCAAGCTTTCTCTGACCACCCAGTTTTATACTTAATGCTTTTCTCTTCTGTAACACTCATTTCACATGAAACCACTTGCACCATCCTCGCTAGACTCTAAGTTCTTGGAGGGCAGGCACCAAACCTATTTGGTATATCTCTGTATCTCCAGCACCTAGCTTGGGGGCTGACGCATAATAGATGCTCATGAAATGTTTGTTGAATGAATGTTTGTTGAGCCCACTAACTTTCATCCTCAAATAATACTTATGTGATATTAGTAATAATTCTCTACGTAGTTCAGTGGCTTACCAAATACTTTTATAGGTGAGTGTCCCAACTTTGGGGGGAAGGACAGTGCAGGAATATCATTATTCTCCCAACTTCTCAGAAAATGAGATGCCATCTATGAAGTAACTGACTTGTCTAAGGTGGTAGAACCAGCATGAGAGTTGGAATGCATACCTGCACTAAAGGACTGTAAACCTTGGGTCATATACCATCTGTTAACCAGAGGCTCTGGCAGCCCAGGGAATACTGGTGGCTAGTGGAAGACAGCCGTGGAAGGAAGAGGGAGAAGCACAAGCCAGGCCTCTGATGACCTTTCTTTCCCCCGGTATCTGCTTGTTACCCACACGGGTTCACTCCGTGTGTTCTGGGAGCTGGGACCCTAGAGCAGGGCTGGGCCAGAGAGTTGGTGAGGCCTGCAAAGCCTTTTCTTCTGGGGAGGAGGGGGGTTAGGGCTGAGAGGCAGGGGCACCTGCCCACACTGTTATGTATGCGCACATTCACATCTGGACAAAATCCACACCAAGGCATACATACATATAACACACCGAACGAGCCACTGCACAAACAGGTGCCCCAGACATCGTGCACATACATACTGGTGCATGGTTATGCATACTCGTATACACATTAAGCATGTACCCAACGCACAGATATCCAGACGCTGCTGTGTACACCCAGCAAATGACATACACACCGGCTGCACACCAGGCTGCAAGAGTAGACATGTGCATGGACCAGTGCATACATATGCACTCACCCATGCACACACACACACGCTCGCGATTCTTACTCTCAACCACACGCACAGTCAGTACCCAGAGAAATGTACTCTATTGTAAGCGTCATGCCCACACGCACCCTCACATCCACAGTGATGTCAATGCTCACGCGCAAGCAACAGACATACTCATACCCTTGCAAACGCCTGGGTAACAATCATTTCTTGCACGTAAACCTCCAAATACACTGGCAGGTTCTACACGCGGAGAGATGCCTCGATGCACCCAAGTTGCCACCAGCGCTTCAAGTTTTTTCCAAACCAACTCGGACGGGAGAGCTCTGTGCCGCGGGCCGGCCCACGTGACCGGGGAAGGCGCTCCCGCCGGTGACGGGATGGGAAAAGTATGCCTGGGGCGGGCGCCGGGCGGGCTGCTGTCGCCGCGGGAGGCGGGAGGCGGGACGCGGAGCAAGGCCGACAGCTTGGTCGCTCCCGAGGCTCCTGGACGCCCGGGGCAGCGAGGGTGAGTGTCCGCCGGCGGTCCACACTCCGGGGAGAGTGCGGGCGGGGAGAAGAGGGGAGGATGCGCGGTGCTGGGGCGCGGGGCGGGGTGGGAGTCGGTAGGAGTGGGAGGACTGCGAACGCCCCTCTTTGCAGGCCGGGCAGCCCACAGAGTCCTACCCCTTGACCTCCACCTTCTGGAGTATATTCCATATGAATTAACATGTACTGGGCGCTTACTGTGTGCTCGTGGTTTACCTGTTGCTAGTTTTATAATTCTACCGCTTATTGAGCGCCTATTTCGTGCCAGGCCCTGCCTGCCCTCTGCGCACGCTGGTTCATTTCCATGACAACAGCTTATCTGCCTCTGCGAGAGAGGAACCAGGCTCAGAGATGTTAATGACTTGCTCAGGGCTGAACACCTGGTAACTGGTGGCAAAGGGATTTGAACCCTGGTGAGTCTGAGTCTAGTACCAGAGCTAACAATCGTAGCTGACATTTATCGAGCGCATTATCTCATTTACTCTTTACAACATTTAATTAAATATATATATATATATATATATATATATATATATATATACACACAGACCCGCAAACTAAGCTCAAAAGGTACTGAACGGCAAGCTGAGATTTGCACCCAGTTCTTCACAACTCTTGTCACTCTCCCTCCTCCCCCAAACTGTGTTCTTCTTTCTCCGTCCCCACCGCCACTGCCCCATGCCAGGACTGGATGGCAGCTGAATGTTGCATGGTCCCAGTGGTCTCCCAGCCCAGGCCTCTCCCCTAACACTGTGGGTGCTTTGCACAACCTCAGTGTGGTCCTCCTCTGTTCTCTTACAACAAAATTCCTGCCTAGAGCCTTCAAGAGTCCCCTCCTTAGACTGGCCATCTCCCGGGGACGTTCCCATCCCTGCCACACTAAACCAGTAGCAATAGTGTCAACAGTGTCCTCTATATGTCAACCCAAGGCTGGTCTCAGCACTGTTTGAAGTCTGTCCTCTCCCATTCTCCCTTTCTACACCCCCCCCCCCCCCCCCCCCAGTTTGCCTCTGACTTATTCTGGTATCTGGCAATTGTAGATCCATCATGCCCACTTTCAGCTGCCTACCGTCAGAGCATCCACACTTTCAGAACTTCACTCCTGCCCTGCCTTCTTACCCCTCCAGTGCACCACACTCTGTTTCTTCCCAGAGCCTGACTTCCCTCCAGCCCCTAGCAGGGACACCAGTCTTGCCCGCCTTCTAATCCTTCAGCGTTAGGATTACCTTTTGTTTTAAATGACATAAAACTAACAATGTCCATCGTAACAAATTCAGACACTTCAAAAAGGTAGAAAGTGAAAAGTAAAAGCCCATAGACCTCCTGATTCTGAAAAGTAACCCCTGTAACAAGATGGTATGTCGTTTGGAAATTTCATATATCTATATATTTGAGTGTCTATCTTTTTTTTTTTAACTCAAAGATAAGCATACTTTACATTCCATGCTGCAACTTGCCCTTTTCACTCTGTGTATCTTGGTCATCTTTCCATATGTGCAGATACAGACTCACTTTGTTTTTATAACGTTGTCTTAGTGTGTCATTGTACCAAGGAATCGAGATTTGGTTCACAAGTCTGGGGTCATCTTTGAAGGTATTCGCCCTCCATTCAGCAAATATCCCCAAGAAGTTACTTCTTTCTCTGCAAATCCCTCCATTCCTCCCTATCTTGCTGCTCTTGCTCTCATCTGTCTGCTGAGTGGACACAGACGACTGGACCTTCTTCTCCACCGTCCCAGTCTCTGATGATCCCGAATGTTCACCGCGGGGTGATGGAGTGCATACACTCACAGCTTCCCACACGCCCTCCTCACGAAGGCCTGCCAGCTGGCTTTGCCTCTGTGAAATGAGCTCCTGTAGAAATTTGATTTCTGTTCATCAAGTTCTAGTCTACGTGGACTTTGGAAAGGAATTCTATGCTGAAGCTTTTCTCAGGGAAACAATTTTCCATTGGATTTGTGCATTTCTGTAGATGGCTTAATTAGAGAGCTGCCCTGGCAAGGTTTATGCACATGGGTTCTGTGCCCTAGGCCCCAAGTCAACAGGCCTGGCTTCCATTCAGCTTTGAGCTTGGAAAAATGATTTTTTTTTTTAGCCTTCTTTTTTTTTTTTTCTTTTGCAATATGGGGATTATAGTATCAGCCTCTTAGAACTGTGGGAGGTTAAAGGAGAAAATGAACGTCAAAGCTTTGAAATAAGAACACACAACATACACGGAGAATTCTCTTTCCCTCTAGATCAGGGGTTGCAAACTCATACCAACGGCGGCTGTGCATTCTAATCTCCTGTCGTATCTCTCCTGGTTCTGACACATTATTATTATATGGAATAACACTACTGTCACTGAGTACTTCCTGTGGGCTGGTTATTGCTGTATTATCTCATTTAATATTCATTATTACTCTATAAGGGAGGCACAGGCCATCAAATTACTCAGGGAGACGTTCCTAAAGACCTTATATTATTCAAACTCGTATAATTCAAAACTCACCTGCCGAAAGAAGGAAGGCAGTATTTCCGTTTGCCGATTAGTATAGGGCTATCCTGTGGCTATAGCATAAACACAGTTTACAATTTACAACTCCTGCTGCCTTGCAAGGTCCTCGACAAACTTTCCCACATAAATTGAAACCATAAATATGTTTCTTTCATGCAATTTCAAATTCAAACGATTCAAATATGACCATACAGTATTGTTTTCTCCCATTTTACAGGCAAGGAAACTGAGGCTTAGAGATAGCAGAGGTCAAATAGCTAGAATATGATCCCTAACCTCTTAACCACCAGACCAGCTCTGTGCTTCTTGAAGGCCAGATCTTTAGAGTTATTTCGAATGTCTGTCAGGGTCTGACCAGAAGTGACTGCATAGAGACCAGCAAGCACAGGAAAGTCAAAGAAAACCTAGCCTGCTCCCCTACCCCCGCTGCCACCCCCCAACCCTTCAGAGTTCAGACTTTGTTCCTCTCCCTCAGTTTCCAGATCTTCAAGTGTGGTCCCTCTATGCCATTCCAAGGAACCGCCTAGCCCCATTTCCTTTCCTGTCTTCAATGCAGTCCTGGCTGCCCTTTGAGAGAGAACCTGCTACAAAGAGAAAAGAGGAGCAAGGCTTACTCCCTCTCCTGCCTAGAGCCTGGTCATACAGGTATGCCAGGCTGGATCCTCTTTAGAACCAGACCTTGTGCCCTATAAGAGCAGCAACCACATCTTTTCATTCCAGTGTCTGGCCTCAAAGGCAATAAAAATAGGTGACGCCATTGATTGGGCATCCTCGCCAAGCCATGGTGCCAAGCACCAGCACACATGATGTCTCATTGGCCTTCTGTCACTTGAAGAGCTAAGCACTAACCCATCGAGTCACCTGTCTTTATTAATCACCTGTATTGTGGATCATGGCAATGCCAGGTGGCTCATAGGTGTGTGGGGCCAAGGCAGAGACCCCCACAACTTCCCTCAGCATGGAATGGCTGGGCAGGAGCGAAGGCCCACCCTCACTAGGATGCTCTTTTGGTAGCAACCGACAGAAACACTATTCAAACCAGCTTAAGTGAAAATGGAGAATTTATTCTAAGACTTCAGGGGCCTCCACTTGAAATGCCATAGGACTCATGGAAGGAGGTCAGGACTGTTTTTCATTAGTTCAACTGCAGTTGGTGACAATTAAAATTTTAAACAAGGTCTGAATTTTTGTATCTGGTTTTACTTCCAACATCCATTATTTTGCTGAATTTGCAGAAGGACAAGAAATAATGAAATAAGAATAGGTGATGCTTTTATACCTCTTACCATATGCCAAACCTTATTCTAGGAGCATTATCGCCTCATAACAGCCTTCTAAGGTAGCTACTGCTACTGTCATCCCCATTTTGGAGAGGACTAGGCTGAGGGAAAGAGGATAAGTCACTCGTAAAAGGCCCCACAGCTAGTTCGTGGGATTTCAACCCAAGCAGCTATGCTTAGAGCTGAGGCAGTAGCTGCCACATGGCTGTTGAGCACATGAAATGTGGCTGTCTGGCCTTAGCCAGTGTGGCTCAGTGGATAGAGCTTCCGCCTGCGGACTAAAGGGTCCTGGGTTCTATTCCAGTCAAGGGCACGTACCTCAGTTGCAAGCTCAATCCCTGGTCTGGGTGCATGTGGGAGGCAACCAATCGATGTGTTTCTCTCACATTAACGTTTCTCTCTCCCTCTGTCTCTCCCTCTCCCTTCTACTCTGTCTCTGAAAATCAATGGAAAAAATATCCTTGGGTGAGGATTTAACAAAAAAAATTTAAAAATAATAATAAAAAAGTAATGTGGCCAGTCTGGATTAAGATGTGCTGCAGGTGTAAAATACACACCGGGTTTCTAAGACCAAGTGCCAATTAAAGAATGTGAGATACCTCATTAATAATTTTTACATTGATCACATGTTGAAATGATGATGTTTGAGATATATTAGTCTAACCAACATATATTATTAAAATTAATTTCACCTGCTTTTAAAAAACCTTTTTAATGTGCCAACAAGGTCGTTTAAAATGACATGTGACCTCCTGTCATATGCCTGTTGGACAGCACTGTTCAAACACGGTCCCCAGCCCTCTGGTCTGCCGCTTGGAGAAGCTGGCCACAGGGCTCTGAACTGCCTCGGGCCTCCCTCCCGCAGCTCACATCTGGCCCATCAGCTTCCTTCTTCTCGCTCACTGCAGTGCTGGGCAGGTCCAAAGCTTGATGGCTTCGGCCTCAGCCACCGGAAGCCTGACTCTGGGCCTCACTGCACAGGGCACAGGGCACAGGGCACAGGGCACAGCGCTCCACGTCCTCTGCATAACAAGCCACGTTGGCTGGTTTCTAAGGATCTGGGGTGATAATACAGTGGCCACCAGACTGACTGCTGGCGTGCTCTCCGAAGTGCCACTGAGACAAACCCCACAAGATCTTGGCTCCTGAGACCTCACTAGGTCATGGTTTGGCCTTGGACCCCTTGTCTAGACTGAGCCAGAA